TTGTCCATTTCCTCGGCCCGTTCGTTACTTCGTCCCCCCCCTCCCCCGACGCCCATCGTTATCAGAAACTAATAATACGACGTTTGAACATTTCAGTGAAATTCATGCCGGAATCGCAGCCGGCTCCGCCCGCGTTTCAATATCCACCGGGCATGATGCCGCCGCCGCCGCCGGGTGCGATACCGGGTGCGGCAGCTCCAGCGAGTGGCGCAGGGGCGGCAGGTGGTGCAGCAGGGGGTGGCGGCGGTGGCGCGCAGAAGACTCCCGGCGCCGCGCTTATCAGCGAGCTGGACATACGCAGTGTCGTGTAAGCGGCACGACACGGTGCTGGTATTCGGACAGAGAAGAATATAAGGAAGAACGCGAAGAGATCGACCCTGACGACGACGACGCGACGCCTCCATCCGCAAAAGTAACTGGTCGATATATTCGCTTCGAGATTCAATCTTCGGATTGTCACCGGTATTGGAGGTTTCGACGGAAAAATATAATATCTAATAACTCTACATAAGACATAAGATTTTTGTAGCAACATCTGCAAATGATTTTAGAAATTACGATCTTGCATTGCTCGCGCTCGAAACCTTTCGATTACCGCAATTACTTTAATGTTATTTTTCTCTGTTAACGATGTTGTGTTAGATATTGATAATTTTAATATTTTATCAATAATTATTGTGCAATTTTCTGTGAACGTACAAGATTTTGGTGCACAGTGCCTCACGTATTTTCACTCAATTCTGTTGCATCTTTTACTCTCGAGATTTTGTAGTTTTAGATTTTTAATTTTAAGATTAGATTTTTTTTAGATTTAAGTGGAAGCGACATATCGACCAGTTTATTCGTCGTTCGAGAAAAAAAAAAGAACGATGTAGAATCTAAGTCATTAGGAAATCTGCGGAAGCTTTATTTTCGATGAGAGTACACGAGAGGCTCCCAAAATTCGAGCCGAAATCCGCTCAGCTAACCACTATGAAAAGCTAGCAAACAAACGAAATATCGTTCGGAAAGTACGCGAACACGCGTATCGACATTATCATGTATATGTACATACATTATTACGAATTGTCAAAGTAAGATTAAATTCATGTGTACGTATATATAAATACATAAATTATATATTCATATAAATATCGAATCAAAACACAGAGGGAAGGTAATAATAGGAAGAATTATAAATAGCAATTGAAAGATCGATTATTCAAAATCCGAGAAAAATGCGTAATTATATGCGTCATGTACAGGGTGTTCCATGTAAGTGATTTTTTTTCATGCTTGCCTGTGCATTCGCGAAACATTATCTCCGATAATATGATTTTTATGGAACATGCAAAACAAACTTAATTTTCACTCTTGCGTTAAATCAGTCAATTTTATCAGTCATGATGCGATTATGTCAATCGCCATGATAGCAAAAATTATACTCAATGTGATTTTGCAGCAAACGAGTGATTCCATAAGCATTTCTTTACACAATTTAATTGTTAATAGTACTATGTCAAACTATTGGAGATATATTGTTTCCCGTGATAGTCTTTACTTCCAAGTATTATCCGAGGACACTTTATATAATACTTATAAAAGAATGCTTCTTTAAATTGACAAAAAATTAGCTTGTAAATGTACCATAGAAGATGATCGAGTTGTAAGAAAAAGAAATATATTGATTCCTACATTTTTGAAAGTTTGTTTTAACGTAGAGATCGAACGATAACTTCGTGTGATAATAAATTCAAATTTCCGAAGTTGAATTCTCTGATAACGTTAGCGTGTAATTTAGCAATGTTATATATATGTTATAAATATATATTAGTGAATTAGATAATTTATTTTATTTAAACGAGAAAAAAAATATCCCCGCATTAAATTGATTGGTACAATTTATTATTTTCTTGTCAAGTGTTCACCTTTGCCTACGTGAAAGTTTCGGCTGACAACGCGTACTTAAGACAGATTCAAAACTAGTTGCTGTTACTTGAGGAAAAAGAAAAATTAATATATTGTCTACTTAATAAAACACTGTATTGCTATTTTCACTCAATAATTAGAGTCATAATTGTGATTATCGAATTAAAATAGTAACACAGCTAATTCGATAAACTGTCTATACATCAATAATAATAATAATAAAGAATTAAACAATAGATTTGTAAGTATAGCCTCTCTAGGAAAGCGCTTTGACACTTAGGCTGTTGATACGAATAACGGAGTTAATTGCAATATTCTTTCAGCTGTATATCTCACCGAAAAAAACGACAGACCTTATATAATAAAAATACTATATTATAGATATATTACTGTATATTAGGATTAAATAAATAATGTTGTGAAAAATAGTTCTGTGTGTCTCTTTGTTTCCAGTACAATTTAGTGCATTATATTGTACTTCTTTTTCATTTAATTCAATTAACATTTATTATAAAATATCTATAAAATAAATCTAATATTATCTGAAATATTTATTTCATAATATGTTTTCACATTTTCGTTTTTCATTAAAAACATAAAATCTTTTTAAATTAAATTTTCATATATCTCTAATAAAAGATTACAAAAAAAAATGCAAAGAGTACACATAAAAGTAAGTGTAAAAGTCTCAGTGTAAAAATGAGATGCTTTGATATAGTTTAATGTAGCAGATTTATTAGATTCTAAGTTTATTGTTTCTAAATTTTGTATTTATAAAATATTCTTTCATGTTACTGGCACATTGTAAAATAAATAAAATTAGTGGAGTAGCATATAAATTTAAAATAATAATAAATTAGACTAAACTTACCGACAGACGATGCGCAGCAGAGGAATTGTTGTACCAGATGATTGCATACCAGTTGATCTGTAAAATATAAATGTATTCAATATAAATAGTCAAATTAGATTAAAACAGCGTTCAAAATAATTTATAATTTATATCTTACAAATAATTATTGCAATGGATTTTATTACAAAAATTTGGATAATCACATAAAATTTTAAAAATATTCTATCACTTGTGTAATTTTCCATATAAAATAAGATATATTTACAAAATAAAAGACAAAATATTATAAGTATTAATTTTGTAATTTTTACATGTATTATTTGTGTAAATTTATTGAATTTCTTTATAGTGACATGGCAGAGTGTCGAATGCGTGTTCTCTCTCTCCATACGATGATTCGTGTAATATTAGAGTTTTATTTTTATCATAACATGACAAAATACGCGTCGAGAGTGTCGTCTAAAATATCGTGTAGTCGTTGTAATATCAAAGAGCTTTAAAAAACGCGGAATTTTAATCAAGTAAAATTAATTTTTATATTAGATTACGCTAACGAATTTACAGATAAAAATTTTAAAAATACGATAAAAGACGAAAAATAAAATAGTAAATTATTTATCGAAATTAAAATTCTAAATGCGAAAAGAATATTTTGTAATGTGCAAAATATTATATATCATATTAGGAATATTCGTTCACTCACGGCATGGGGAGATTTGGTGGGGTTGTTTACATACGCTCTGTAGTCTACGTGCTCTATGTCCTCTCTCCCTTACTGCCACGCTTTCTCTCTCGCACGCGTTATCGGCACATTCTTTTCCCCTACTCCTAAATCACCCTTCGACACGACCTTATACAAATGAATCCTCGCTCCTGGACTATTACTATTCGCACGGCGGAACTTGAGCGAGGCAGACCGTTCGCGTATCGGCGCGTTATTCCCCTCAACTACCCTCAATTCTTATTATTCCTCAGTTTTTCACCTTCCTCCCCCTTTTCTATCGTTACCTGTTGCGTACATGGCAGCGTGTCGAACGCGTATTCCGTGCGATGAGCGATATTCGAGTTTCAACTTTTGTCCTAATATGACAAAATACGCGTTGGGAGTGTCGGCAAAAATATCGTATGATTATTATAATATCGTTCCGCCGTAATTTCACAGTAATGTAAAACGCGGAGTGCCGTTTAAAGTGCCGTGCGATTTTCGTATTCGCGTCGCGATCGCGTGTGAATACTTTGGAGACCACTGAGAGAAGGAGGTTTAGGAGGAGCATCGGGCACCGGCGGAGCAACTTTGCGGTAAATAATAATTCATTCATTTGTTGAAAATATTGTAAATATTCATTATTTTGAACGCAACTATAATCTTGATTTATTTGCTTGATTTATTTTACTCTGTCTTATTCGTTTGCAAGAAAAAAATCATGCAATTACTGCTGAAACGATTCGGTTGCGAAAAGTTATTTGTATAAACGGGAAAACATCAACGAGTAGCAATTGCCGCACCGCAACTTTCTTTAATCAGACATCTTAAACATAAATCATTCAAGCTATAACTGTATCAACCGTAACACGGAATGCAAGAATTAGTTTTAATTCTTTTGAGTATAATATGCAAATTTATTTTGTACAAAAAGCTGCAATCTTTTTCTTTCTTTCTTTTTTTCTACAAATAAACATTGTAATTCAACAAACCAGGTTATAATAATACTAGATAAAATGATGATCAAATGATGATTAACCATCGAAGAATATTTATGACAACGTGATAATAACGAACAATTTATTATCGAATACTGTACTAATTACATAAGACTTTGAGAAAAAACATGCATCCCGGAACTTAAGCTCCATCAAGAATACTCATTATTTTTCACAACAAAAACACTAACTGTGGAAATAATTTTATAAAACAGATTCTCAATCAGAAATAATATGCTAGTGAGAATTCTTTGCCAAGGTTTCTTGTAAGAATTCTTATTAGCATTTTACTACTAATCGAAAACCTGTTTTATGAATATATATTTTTTACATTTTTAAATCTTGTTTTTATAGCATTTAGATTCTGATGAGCATTCGTGCATCTACTACAGTAGCTTTATCTTTCGCTCTTCAAATCGCTACAAATTGAAAGCACCATTCATAACATTATATCCACAGTTAGTATTTTTACAGTGTATTTAACTAAGAAGAAAAAAGTAAATGATTTTAGTGAATTCGACACGTCAAAGGTTTGGCGATGATTCGACCAAGTTTTGCATTTTGGTACTGTGTGTTTCTACTTGTCATTACATCTTCGGGAAAGAACGAAGAGTATTGGAAAAATTTCACGAATGGCGATGAACAAAGTGACAATTCAACGATGCCATTCGAGCTTAACGAAAATTCTATGAAAAATCAAGATAATGAGATAGAATTAATGCATCATAATTCGCACGAAAATTCTGTGAAAAATAAAAGTGAAACAAACTTTATGTTGCATGAACTTAATGAACATTCCAATAAGGATGACGATGATAATATCATTCCGTATAAAATGTGTAACAATACTTGCTTACAATATTGCTGCAGTATGCTAATAAACAATTGCTATGAAGTGAAGAGGCAAGATTTTATTAAAAACAATCCTAATTATACGATAGAAGCCATAATTGCTTATTCATGCAAAGAAAACGAGATTCCGTTTGATATTATGGATAATGAGAATACAATGTTTTTTGACAACAGCTTTCTGAAATTATCACGTCATGATAGACTAATTTCGTTGTTATCTAAGTGCACCGATATTTTATCTAATTCTGCTGACTCAACGATCTGCGACGCCATTTTGAACCAAATGGTTTCGATATATTTGGATATTAAGACTGCAGTTGTCATAGCATCTTTGCTGTGTCTTCTGATGACATTCATCGTGTATTCCATATGTCCAGAACTTCAAAATATGCACGGATATACTTTGCGTTCATATGTCGCGTCATTGTTCGTCGTATTCACGATCATGCTAATCGTCCATAAGAAAGAGACGTTTGAAGAGATGTATCCTGTCTGCGTTGCAGCAAGTACGATTTCCACAACAATGTAGCAATAATTTTTTTATAGTATAAATATTTAAATAAACGCTGGCGCGTCTGTTATTTTACATAATTGACTGCACTATTTTACTACATCTAATAATTTAACAATATCAAAATAATAAAAACTTTAAAAATGCATTGATAAATAACGAATATAAAATAAAAAATATTAGCGCTTTAATGCATGCTAACACTATTTATTTGACTGTTTCAGGTTTACTATTCTATTTCTGTTTTTTTGCGAGCCTCTTCTGGCAAAATGCGATATGCTTCGATATTTTACGGACATTTGGGTAAGTATTCAAATACTTCGTAAAACCATTAGTCAAACTTTTATTCAATTCCATTGCAGAGAGAAAAAACAAAAAATATTAATATTTATATAAAAGAAATCCATATAATATTAATATTTATAATATTAATATTAATATAATATTAATATTAATATTATTTTGTTCTTAAACAATTTGAAATTGATAATCGAATAATAGAACTACTGAAAAAAATACGTAAAATAATAAAAATTAATCCTCTTCCATTTTTTAATTGGAGTAATTTACTTATACTTTGGAATTGTATAAAAGTATTTATTTTGATATTAATTAATTACTTATATTTGATATATATTTATACAACTATGAATATATTTGGTATTAATCACAAATTAATTAAAAATAAAGAAATTGTCAATTTGGGCTTTTTTAACAAACAAATTATCATATTAAAAAAATAGCTATATCAGCCTAGAGCTGGGTGTTGATTGCTCAGTAAAGAAAAGTTAACAATTAGTTAATTAATTTATATGAATTAATATGAATTAACTAATTGTTAACTTTTCTTTACTGCGCAACCAACACCCAGCTCTGGACTGACATAGCTATTTTTTTAATATGATAATTACAAATTAATTGAACTATTTCATTGCCTGTATACCACATCCAAAGTAAAGACTAACATGAGTGACACTACTATGTTGCAGAGGAGTTCGTTTTTTACACAAAAGCGTGAAGCAATCAAAGAGAAAAATTTTCCTCGCGTATTCGTTCTGTGTATGGGGAATCGCCAGCATTTACGTCATCATTTGTGCTATAATGAATTTTGTTCCGACTGTGCCTGATAATATCCAACCAAATATCTGCATCACTACATTCGGATTCGGTAATAATCACATTTTACTTTGTATTACTGCTAATACTTCATTGAAATCCATAACACGATCGTGTAAATAGCAACAATACTATTCTTTATATTATGTTAACATTTGCAATTGTAAAATAAACTTCATAAAAATCGCATGAAAAATTAAATAAACATTATATGTGCGTAATATTTGATGAATGACTAGTTATTATTATTTCTTAGAAAACAGTTTTTAAAAAATTACCCAGAAATGCACTCAAAAAATTTTTCTTAGACTTCTCCTTTTTCCTGCGTAATTTTATAAAAACTGATTCACAATCGTTATATTATAATCCTTAATTAAATTTTAAACTTTTAACTAATATTATGTGTGCACATCCTACAAATAATATAAGAACTTCATTTTTATTTCAGCGCAACATGCAGATTTTGCATATTTTGAAATACCCATAAGTGTTCTTATTATCTGCAACATATGTTTCTTGATTTTTACGATGTTAAACATCGTACGCGCAACAAAAATTATCGATAGCTTTCTAAAAGACGCGGAGAACAAGCACCAAACTAAACAAAGGTACATATGTACTATTATTCATTTATGCGCAATAACAACATATATCTCTTTTCAAACTTTTTAAAAGAACTTATGAAATTATAATTCAAATTTCCAAGAATTAAAATTGAACTCCGTTATTTCTTTACATTATCTTAATTCAATGATTATTTTAGTTATAAATGCTGTTTAAATCTATACAGTTCTATTCTATTCTATTCTATTCTATTTAAATTCTATACAGATTACAAGATTACAAGATTTTCTAATTTTTATTTTTGCTTAATATTAATTACTTTAAATGCTCATTTATAATAAATTAAATTCTCTGTTTTGTATCCTTTTTATATTCTTAGAAAGCACTATTTTATCTAGAGTAATAAGCACTCAAAGTAATTATAACTACAAGACATGTAGAAATAAATATGTTTGCAGATCTATGATGTATTTGAAGTTATTGCTCTTTGCGGATATAAACTTGGGCCTACTAAGAATATTTAGATGGACTAGCGATATGATAATAGCAATGTTTGATGTTGTGGAATTTGTGCCAAATTTCATTCTGCTTATCATAGACATAATAGAATTCCTGCAGGGCTTCGTCATTTTCATCATATTCGTTTGCAAGAAAAGAATTTGGCAATTACTGCTGAAACGATTCGGTTGTGAAAAGTTATTTGTAAAACGGAAAAGCGTCAGCAAGTAACAATTGCCGTATCGCGACTTTGCATACTTCTTCTACAACAGTGACAGAGATGTCCACGCACGAAGACAACATGCAGGCTAATTGTGAGAAATCTATTATATTTATCTATTATATTATATTATCTATTATAATTATTTTCCCATATGTATATATATATATATATATATATATATATATATATATATATATATGTATATATATCTTTTGATGATATATTAACATTTACTGCAATATAAAATTTTAATGAGTTATTTAGTATCGTTCCACTAAAAATAAATTCTCAACTTTTATAATTTTTTTCAAGTTTTAATTGCCTTTCATAGAAATGATTTGTACGACAAAATATACATATTTAAAAGACTTAGTTAGGCAAATTAATATTTATATCATTCCTTTAACCACTCTGTATACAAAACTCCACAGCAAATATCGCTAGATTGTTTTTCTAACGTAACGATAGTTACTTATTCAGTATAGAAATCACACGTTTGTATGGATCGTGTTTGCATAGCGCGATTGTTTGTCGTTTGTTTAAATAAAAAAATCATAAAATTAAATAGTGCTAGCCAAAAGTTAATAAAATGATTAATGACGATAATGTTATATTTTATTCGTATTCATCACAAACCGCCCGAAAAAAAGAAACACACGATAAATAAGTTTTTCTGTGAGTTCATTCTCTTCCATAATATCATGTGCATCAATAATTCGTTTATGGTAAAAAACAAAAATACAATCAAGTGCTATTCGCATGTGTACATTTTATAATAAATTTCTAAAATATTTTTCATAAACGTTTATATTTCTTGTATTCGTTAAAATATTTGCAATAAGATTTCAATATAAACAATTTTAAATATATAAAAATATATATAAATATAATTTTGAGTTTATAGATTTCTTTTCACAGATTTCTTAAACATAAATCATTCAAGCTATAACTGTATCAACCGTAACGCAGAATGCAAGAATCAATTAAATGATGTGCAAATCTATGTTATCTAAAAAGCTGCAAAGTTTCTCTTTCCTTCTTTCTTAAATAAATAAACATTCTAATACAACAAACCGATTATGATAATACCAGATAATCAAATGATGATTAATCTTCGATGAGTATTCATGACAACGTGATAATAACAAACAATTTATTTCTTAATACTGAACTTATGAAATAGGATATTGAGGAAAACATGAATCCCGGAACTTAAGCTTAATCAACAATACTCATTATTTTTTACAATAAAAACACTAACTGTGGAAATAATTTTATAAAACAGATTCTCGATCAGAAATAATATGCTAGTGAGATGTCTTTGCCAAGGTTTCTTGTAAGAATTCTTATTAGCATTTTACTACTAATCGAAAACCTGTTTTATGAATATATATTTTTTACATTTTTAAATCCTGTTTTTATAGAGAGAGAGAGCATTTAGATCCTGATGAGCATTTGTGCATCTACTACAGTAGCTTTATCTTTCGCTCTTCAAATAGCTACAAATTCAAAGCACCATTCATAAAATTAACTCCACAGTTAGTATTTTTACAGTGTATTTAACTAAGAAGAAAAAACTAAATGATTTTAGTGAATTCGACGCGTCAAAGGTTTAGCGATGCATCGACCAAGTTTTGCATTTTGGTACTGCGTGTTTCTGCCTGTCATTCTATCCTCGGAAAAGAACGAAGAGTATTGGGAAAATTACACGAATGGTGATGAACGGAGTGACAATTCAACGATGCCATTCGAGCTTAACGCAAATTCTATGAAAAATCAAGACAATGAGACAAAGTTAATCCATTATAATTCGCACGAAAATTCTGTGAAAAATAAAAGTGAGACAAACTTTACGTTGCATGGACTTAATGAACATTCCATTGAGGAAGACGATGATAATATCGTTCTGTATAAAATGTGTAATAATACTTGCATACAGCATTGCTGTAATTTGATATTTGACAATTGCTTTGCAAAGAAGTTACGAGAATTTGAGAACAACAATTCTAATTTTACGGAGGAAGCCGCAATTGCTTATATATGCGAAGAAACCAAGATTCCGTTTGATATTATGGATAATGAGAATACGATGTTTCCTGACAACAGCTCTCTAAACTTATCACGTCACGATAGATTAATTTCGTTAATAATTAAGTGCTCCAATATTTTAGAGTACTTTAACTCAACTACTACCTGCTACGCCATTTTCGATCAAAAGATATCGATATATTTCGACATTAAGACTGCAGTTATCATAGCATCTTTGCTGTGTCTTCTGATGACATTCATCGTGTATTCCATATGTCCAGAACTTCAAAATATGCACGGATATACTTTGCGTTCATATGTCGCGTCATTGTTCGTCGTATTCACGACCATGCTAATCGTCCATAAGAAAGAGACGTTTGAAGAGATGTATCCTGTCTGCGTTGCAGCAAGTACGGTTTGCGCAACAATGTAGCAATAATTTTTTTATAGTATAAATATTTAAATAAACGCTGGCGCGTCTGTTATTCTACGTAACTGACTGCACTATTTTACTACATCTAATAATTTAACAATATCAAAATGATAAAAACTTTGAAAATACATTGATAAATAATGAATATAAAATAAAAAATATTAGCGCTTTAATGCATGCTAATACTATTTATTTGACTCTTTCAGGTTTACTATTCTATTTCTGTTATTTTGCGAGCCTCTTGTGGCAAAATGCGATATGCTTCGATATTTTACGGACATTTGGGTAAGTATTCAAATACTTCGTAAAACCCTTAGCCAAACTTTTATTCAATTCCATTGCAGAGAGAAAAAACAAAAAATATTAATATTTATATAAGAGAAATCCATATAACAATTAATATTATTTTGTTCTTAAACAAATTGAAATTGATAATCGAATAATAGAGCTACTGAAGAAAATACGTAAAATAATAAAAATTAATCCTCTTCCATTTTTTAATTGGAGTAATTTACTTATACTTTGGAATTGTATGAAAGTATTTATTTTGATATTAATTAATTAATTATATTTGATATATATTTATACAACTATATATATATATTTATATATAAGAATATATAAGAATATATTTGGCAATAATTACAAATTAATTGAACTATTTCATTGCCTGTATACCACATCCAAAGTAAAAACTAACATAGGTGACACTATTATGTTGCAGAAATGTTCGTTTTTTACGTAAAAGCGTAAAGCAATCAAAGAGAAAAATTTTCCTCATGTACTCATTGTATGCATGGGGAATCGGCAGTATTTACGTCATCATTTGTGCTATAATAAATTTTGTTTCGACAGTGCCTTATAATATCCAACTCAATATCTGTATGAATACGGCATTCGGATTCGGTAATAATCATATTTTACTTTCTATTACTGCTAATACTTCATTGAAATCCATAATACGATCGTGAAAATAGCAACAATACGTTCTTTATATTATGTTAACATTTGCAATGGTAAAATAAACTTCATAAAAATCGCAAAAAAATTAAATAAACATTATATGTGCGTAATATATGATGAATGACTAGTTATTATTATTTCTTATAAAATAAATTTTTTTTAAATTACCCAGAAATCCACTCAAAAAATTTTTCTTAGACTTGTTCTTTTCCCTGCGTAATTTTATAATAAATGACTCACAATCGTTATTTTATAATCCTTAATTAAATTTTAAACTTTTAACTGATGTGTGCACATCCTACAAATAATATAAAGAACTTCATTTTTATTTCAGCGAATCATGCAAATTTTGCACATTTTATAATACCCACAAGTGTTCTTATTGTCTGCAACATATGTTTTTTGATTTTTACAATGTTAAACATCGTACGCGCAACAAAAATTATCGACAGCTTTCTAAAAGACGCGGAGAACAAGCACCAAACTAAGCAAAGGTACATATGTACTATTATTCATTTATGCACAATAACAACATATATCTCTTTTTAAACTTTTTAAAAGAACTTATAAAATTATGATTTAAATTTCCAAGAATTAAAATTGATCTCCGTTATTTCTTTACATTATCTTAATTCAATGATTATTTTAGTTATAAATGCTGTTTAAATCTATATAGATTACAAGATTACAAGATTTTCTAATTTTTATTTTTGCTTAATAATATTAATTACTAATATTAATTACTTTAAATGCTCGTTTATAATAAGTTAAATTCTCTGTTTTGTATCCTTTTTATATTCTTAGAAAGCACTATTTTATCTAGAGTAATAAACACTCAAAATAATTAAAACTACAAGATATATAGAAATAAATATGTTTGCAGATCTATGACGTATCTGAAGCTGTTGCTCTTTGCGGATATAAACTTGGGCCTAATAAGAATATTTAGATGGACTAGCGATATAATGATTGAAATCTTTGGCATTGTAGAATTTGTGCCACTTTATGTTCTGCTTATCACAAGCACAATAGAATTCCTGCAAGGCTTCGTCATTTTCATCATATTCGTTTGCAAGAAAAGAATTTGGCAATTACTGCTGAAACGATTCGGTTGTAAAAAGTTATTTGTAAAACGGGAAAACGTCTGCAAGTAACAATTGCCATACCGCAACTTTGCATACTTTTTCTACAACAGTGACAGAGATCCACGCAAGTAGTCAAAATGCAGGCTAATTACCACGTGGGGAATTTGTCTGAAATAGTCGGTACTACAATTAAAAACGTTGCAAAAAAATATATATTTTTCATTATTTTTTAATATTTCTTAAATTATTTTTAAGGATTTTAAATACTAGACATTATTTGTAACTTTTATCATAATTCTTCATAAAACTAAGTAATAAAATTCCAAGATACGGATGATCAATGCAAATCAATTTGTGTGAAATATTTCATTGTTGATTTTTCCATATACATAATAATAACATGATAACATGATAAAAGAAATGCATGATAAATAAGTTTTCTACACTCAAAAAAATGATCTTGCAATAATAGCTAAAATTTTCTAGGTGTAAAAAATTAACTAAAACAGATAAATGATTAGCAACTGTTGTGATATTGCATATGTAATTACTTAATCAGTTTAGATGACAGAAACAGAATATATATCTGTATTGTTTGTGAACTATAAAAAAAAGGTTTCTCTAAAGCACCTATCTATATAAGATCAATCACGTGTTAGATCATATATCAATCACGTGTTAGAAAGTTTGATTGAAATAAACAGAAAAAATCAACAGTGCAAACAAATGAATTTATGATCTGCACATCTAACAGTTTATATGACGCGCCCAATTTGTCTAGCTCTTTTAAAATAGATATTAGCTGCGATATCTAGAAATCTAACTACATCAGCGAAACATTTTTCTTAGTGTATCACGATCACGCCGCGTGTGGCGCATGCAACACGTACTGCGTAAAATTTCGTGCCAGCGCCCATCGTGTAGTACATGTTGATACCGGTTCAGACAAAGGGACAACGCATATTAAACACATAGGCGAATCGTGCTTCGAGTTTGTGTCTCATTTGGGTGTTTGTGAAAGTTTTACTGTGGAAGAAGTTTGACCGTGACGGTTGTGTGTGTAATAATGTCAGATGATAACATTTTCATCGAATTGACGACTAGAGATTTATTAAAAACATGGAATCTCAAGCAATATGCATCGGCGTTTGAAAGTAAGAATATAATTATTTACTTGATTAAATATTATAATTAGATTAGATATCAATTGCATTAATTTTTTGCACTATCGTTAAAATAAATTAGTTTCTTTCACATGCCATTATTTATTTTTTAAGCAAGTATGTTAATAAAAAAACCGTCAAAATTTTTCCTGCTTTATAATATATCAACAAATAGTTATAAATTTTTGTCATATTGCTTATACTTTAGCTGTAAAACAACAGCTTCGATGTGCTTACCAATTTATAGCTCAAAAGGGTCTTTATAATATATTACAAGTAGGGCCTGAAGAGAAATCAAATTCTTTTAATTTATCTGTTCCTTTTCTTCCAAAAAGTTTTTCTGATAACTTTAAGCAACACACTTTCGTTATTTTTAAAGGAATTTTATATAAAAAGGGAATGTGCATAGCAATAGGAATAGATGATAAAAATGGGCCTGAATTTGGTACTATTTCCTCAATTCTAGTAAATAATAATAATAATATCTGTTTCGTATGCAATGTCCTTTTTTGTACAATGTACAATGAACATTTTCATCGTTATAGTGTTTGTAATACTGCTAAAATAATAGCAATTTTAATTACTGATCTTTTACATTATTTACCTTTGTTATATTG